TTGGGCTTAATTGACTTTCTTTGTATTAAAGAAAGAGAGATATTCTTCAAAATATCCTCTTTTGTGATCCAACCAACCAACCAACAAAGGAATTGGGAATTATTGTTTGGCAAAATTTTAAAAGTCAAAACAACATTGAACCATAGTGACTTTAATTGCACAGAAAAATAAAACACTGAGACATTCTTCAAAATATCTTCTTTTGTTATCCATAAAATAAAATAAAATAATAAAATTAAATAAAATTAAAAAATTAAATTAAAAAATTAAATAAAATAATCGTTTGACAGAATTGTAAAAGTAATTTTCTTTATTGGGAAACACCTAGTCAAAAACAACTTTGGACCCAATTGGAAATACATCAAGACACTCTACAAAATATCTTCTTTTGTGATCCACAAACAGATAGATAGATGGATGGATGGATGATTAAATGATGTAAATGATGTCAGGGGATTAATTTTTTGGGCATTTGGTGAACTAACTATTGCAAAAATTATACACAAGTATAATTCATTCTCAAGTATAAGGCTTTTTTCCAACTAAATGACTCTGAATGACTCTTCTAAAGTGCTAACAGGTCGATTATGGCAGGAAGCGTTTGCACATACCACCGAGACGAGAGAGAGACTGAGAGTGGACTCGTGTATGGAAGGAATGTGGCTAAGCTGCATCTCTTGTCCATCATCCACCACTGATGTAAGGCACATGTCAGTCGCGCTTCTTCCCGCTCTCAGCCCAGCCACAGGGCAATCCTCACCCAATACCAGAACCAATACCATATTTGACAAGTTCAGAGCCGTCTGATGCCCACAGATGAAGGACTAAGATGACAACAAGCCATTAATCCTGAAAAATATTTTTAATACAAATAAGTTGAGGATTTGGACAGGTGAGCGTTCATGTGTGTCGTTAAACAAGAGTCCAATTTGCAGGGAACGTTCAGTGATCGCTATACCGCAGCGCTCTGCAACTTCAAACACACTGGTCTATTGTGCCGTCCAAAAAAAACAAACCTCATGAGGAAGATCCCTGGTGGCAGTTTCATAAAGCGCACAGACTTCCTGCTCGAAGTAATTAGTCTGCCTGTATCAGCCAAGAGCACCTATACAGACTCATTAGGGAGTTACCTTTTAAGTGCACACCAGTGTCCTTGAACCATAAGGGAAATACTGCAGTCTATACTGTGAGCATTTAGCACAATTATGTGATAGTGTGCAAAAGCAAGCTGTTTAATCCATATCATTTGGTGTCATTTTCATATCCGACTTTGTAGAAGTATAGCGATAGTCGGCTTTTAGGCGATCATTTATGTTTTGTTCCTGGGGACACTTTGCTTCAGGGGTGGTGTACCATAAACTAAACTGAATCTCTTCTGCATGTTTTCACCTGTATGAGAGATATGCAAAAAATGCCGTAACTCACCATATCTCTGGGCAACTGAAGACATATGAAGACGTTTCTGAAGACTTTGAGCACATATTTCAAAGAGACAGAAACAACTCATTCACTACCTCATCTAAGCTGTCAGTTTATCTGTCCGTCTAAATGTGGGACTTTTGGGAATCGAATCATTGGTAACCAATAACCATAATGAATTTTTTGAAAACTAAAAAAAAAGAAAAATGGGCATATTGTATTATAGGCCTACTGTATAAATATAGGCTACAAATACAAACCTAAAGTTTCTACTACAGAAAAAAAGGTAATCATTTAAGTTGAAGTAGCCCATTACATTACTTTTATCATAATGAATCCTCCACATTTAAATAATTCGAATTTGCATAAAAATGTAAAGATGATAAGCTAAACCTAAAAGTCTTTGGGGATGGATTTACTGTTCTTTTACCTGACAATTAAAGATGGTATCGTTTCAATGATCAGCTCTACCCATCAAATCTCTTGATTTATTAACCAACCAGACGCATGGCGCTATCATTCCGACAAATTACGACGAGCAGTCAGTGCAAACATGTTGTATCTTATCTGATTTAAACTATAGGAATGGAGCCAACTTGTGAGGAAGGCGCATGACTGCAGCACAGCGCGCTCTAGTGGAGATGAATGGCATTACACTCCAACAGTAGCCTGTACAGTACCTGAGAACGAGACGCTCAACTCAACAGAAGTCTGTGAGGGAGAGTAGCAACATGCCAGTATTCCGCTTGTTATATGTGAGAACGAGTCTCTCTTTTTTTTTTTGGCAGATATTTCCGGGGAGGTTATGTGCGACTTTTAAAGGGATAGTTCACCCAAAAATGAAAATTCTGTCATTAATTACTCACCCTCATGTCGTTTCAAACCCGTAAGACCTTCGTTCATCTTCGGAACACAAATTAAGATATTTTTGATGGAATCTGAGAGCTGTCTGACCCTGCATAGACAGCAACGCAACTGAAATGTTCCCAAGTCCTTATCACCCTGTAGCACCATTTTGGAGAGTATCAGCTGGATGTAAACAAGCATGCTGTTCTGTGTCAGCTGCGTCACGCCAGATCTGTTTCCTGTTGTTGTGACGCAGCTGACACAGAACAGCATACACTGTTTACGTCCAGTGGATACTCTCCAAAATGGCGCTAGGGTGACACGGAGGAGACGACAGAATATCAAAATGAACTCAAAAACATGTTCAAAAATTCAAACTGAAAATATTTTTTGTATTAATTGTGTGTTTGTGAAAAAAAAAGAATCGGAGCACACACGAGTATCAAGTCATTGACACAAGGAAACGTGAAATATGCACGAATCCCCGTGCAACTCAATGTATGCATTATAACACGCAAAGTGAAGGAAGGATTCCTAAACGATTAGATGCTTCAAAAGATCATATTGTTTCTGAAATGATCCACTGGTCTAAATCCGATCTGTCTCCCATGTTTAGAATATTAGGCTATAAGGTAATATATATATACACACACACACAATACTTTAATATATTAATTTAGCTATTAAGATTAAAAGGCTATCTGGACCAGATTATTCCAACATCAGGCACACCAACATAATATTAAACCGATATTTTCAAAGAATTGCTGACTGAAGAATGACTTGCATGTAGATGTTATTCAAAACAAATTGACAGGCCAAGGTGAAACACCCAGAACACAAAAAACTAGTCAGAGCAGCAACACTAAGTTCTCACGCATGTTTAAATCTTGAGTCCTTGCGCCCCCTAGGGACAAAATCTAAGCCTGTCCAAGCCTTTGACAAGCATTGGGGTGTTTAATTCCATTCATTTCATAAATCTTTATGCCCTAATTTGATCAAACCTGTTATTGATTCAGAAAAAAAACAAGATTGTAAAATGGAAAAATTAGTCATCTCCCTTCTCTCATGACCACCACTCGAACCAAACTTTACCCTGCTGAATAATTATGTTGTCATTTCTATAGTAATTTGTATAGGATTTTCCCAAAGCAGTTCTTTGGTTGAAATATTTTGTTCTGGAATAACTGTGCAGAACTTCACATACAGTCCCTCTGATGCAGCTTTTATTGCTTGGTTTTTCCAGGAAACATCTTACACCAAAGGCATTGATTCAGAAGTAAACATAAGGGCAGAACATTTACAATAATTCACAATAGCTTAAAAAAGTGGGAGATTTAAAAAAAACAAAACAAGATATGGGCACAAAGGCAACCAATGTACCACTCATGCTTTTAAAAATGGCAAGTCGAATCACTGCAATTAGAAGACCATCTGAAGTACTGCGGAAAGAATATTTCACCCAAAAATGAAAATTTGCTGAAAATGTCCTCAGGCCATCCAAGATGTAGATTTCGTCATGGGAACATATTTGGAGTAATTTAGCATTGCATCACTTGTTCACCAATGGATGCTCTGCAGTGAATGGGTGCCGCCAGAATGAGAGTCCAAACAGCTGATAAAAACATCACAATAATCCACAGCACTCCAGTACACCAGTTAATGTCTTAGCTGCATGTTTGCAATAAACATTTTTAAAACAGGCAAACTACAGTTAAAATGCCTTAATGATGGATTTTTGTTTGTCACTTCACAAGATGTTAACTGATGGACTGGAGTGGTGTGGATTATTGTGATGTTTTTATCAGCTGTTTGGACTCTCATTCTGACGGCACCCATTCACTGCAGAGGATCCATTGGTGAGCAAGTGATGGAATGCTACATTTCTCTTACCCTACATCTTGGATGGCCTGAGGGTGAGTAAATTTTCAGCTCATTTTAATTTTTGGGTGAACTATTCCTTTAAAGTATGAAATAACTTTAAGAAGCTCTGTTCAGAATTTTCAGAATATTCTTTTAAAGTTAGGTTCGCCAAAGTAACAAAACAGAAGAGGCTAGTCTCTTCTTGAAACACATGTGTGCTGGTTCTTTGAGCCAACACTGTGTTTGAGCTAAAAAGGCTAGATTTTATCCAATAGGACCCCAGGACTTTACCTACCACTGAAAAGCAGAAGGATTCAAAACGGAAATACTATGTGCAAAGTGTAGGAAGAAAGCATATTGGTAATCACCAAAAGCCCATTATCTCTCCAACAAATAAAACACTGATAAAAGTGCAAGTGCATCTGAAAAGATCCCAAATATTCATGCTACACGTCCAAGTGCTCTGGCTCCAATAATGTCTTTAGGCAAAAACATAACAGTTTTTTGCTAACAATACCTGCGGTTTCCTGGAAAGAAATAAAAATAATAATAAAACCAATATCAAAAATGGGCAAAAACTGCTACTACACCTTGTAGAATAATAAAGACTTAGCATGAGTAACTACTGCATAGATCCACAGCTATTTCAAAATGCAACCAAAACAATCCTGACAAGAAATGTCTCTTCAAACAAAATGTACAAACATATTTATTTGGCTAGTTAAAAATGCTAAATGCAGTGAATAAGTCCATATCAGCACTGCATGTTCACAACACTCCATAATAAACTGGCATTAAAAAAAAAAAAAAACGCTACTAAGGCACCGAGGCCAGGCGGGGTCAGGATACAGTGATGAGAGTGAATGCTGCAGTCAGCTGGGAGACACTTGTGTGGGTATGACAGAAGGCTTCTCTAACGCTTCCTGCAGCTCGTTCTGCTCCCTAGACAGTTGTCTGAAAGAGGACAACAAGAGTTTAAGCTAAAGATACTTATTTATATCAAGAAAAAATATCTCTTTGTATACTTTATGTACACACATACAGTATCTCACAGAAGTGAGTACACCCCTCACATTTTTGTAAATATTTTATATCTTTTCATGTGACAACACTGAAGAAATGACACTTTGCTACAATGTAAAGTAGTGAGTGTACAGCTTGTATAACAGTGTAAATTTGGTGTCCCCTCAAAATAACTCAACACACAGCCATTCATGTCTAAACCTCTGGCCACAAAAGTGACATTTTCACTTAGGGGTGTACTCACTTTTGTGGCCAGCGGTTTAGACATTAATGGCTGTGTGTTGAGTTATTTTGAGGGGACAGCAAATTTACACTGTTATACAAGCTGTACACTCACTACATTACATTGTAGCAAAGTGTCATCTCTTCAGTGTTGTCACATGAAAAGATATAATAAAATATGTACAAAAATGTGAGGGGTGTACTCACTTCTGTGAGATACTGTACATTCAGTCTATTAAAATTAAATTTTAAACTCGTAACTTGGCAATCCTGTAAATAGCAAGGGAAATGTTAATTACAGCATCTACAACGCCAGGTGGCACCACATACAAACATTTGAGCTAACAAACCTTCACTCTGACACTATTATATTTGATACACAAAATTTAAACTACGTGCCTCCTACCCTACGATTAATCATTTAAACTTTTTTTTTTTTTTTAGCAAGTAAAATCCCTTTTAGTATAATAAAAAAAAATTACACGAATACACTAAAAATTACACTATTAGGTTGTGGTACAATCTTTTTTTCTGTGAAATCTGATCTTTTATTAAGTAAATGTAAGTACATTTTATATTGTTAGTAATTTTTCCAAGATGAAAACTTACTGTAGCAACTTGATTATCCATACATCATTAAAAAAAAAATCATGTTAAAATGTATCAAATATGATGCATCAGGCTTTTGAAGAATGTTTATATATATATTTGTTCATCTCTCAATCATCAATATATTGCATGTCATTATGTTTTGCCCACCACAATAAAAACTACAGAGCTTTAATCATAAAACATATGTGGAAATATAAAGTGACAACTGGTATTTTTATGCTAGTAGTCTGCTATACTCTTATAAAGATCTCATTGATTTACATTACAAGCTATCAGAATACTATCTTACTTTTTATCCATACAACAACACCTGCACAAAATTAAATATTTTTGCTTCAGTATGAGCTCCAAATTCTCCTATATCATACTATATGAGCCATAAAAGCCCGATGTATCAAATATAATAAAAAAACAAAAAAACAAAACAAAAAAAAAATATCTAAAGGGTCAATAAACTGTTCCATTTAATAAATTTAAAAAAAAAAATCTGACTATGTCACATGTCAGGTTTGCAGGGTTAAACAACAAAAAACAAAATGAAATAAAAATAAACTTTCTGAGATGAGGCATGTGCTACTTACATTACCAAACAAAACATTACCAAATAATTCCTGCCATTGGCTGGACAAACAAATAGTCCTGTAACTATCAACCCCTAAAAATGCATATTAAGCCGGGAGAGGAGAAAGATGACACATTCACAGTAAATCTAGATAATTCATGTTTCTTTTCTTCTGTCAATATTTTTCTCCCAGAAAGTGCAAACTTTGTCTCAGTATTTGAAAATACTTAAATAAGAATAATCATCCTATAAGAATAATCTGTAGATTGAAGTAAACATACTGTATGAGGCTTTGGTAGTTGTCTATCCGCACACTGTAGTCCTCGCTCTGCTGGAGAGCCTGCAGGAGCTGATCCTCCAGCGACAGATTCTTCTCCACCTGACAATCACAACACAGCAAGAAGCAGAAAGTTATCAAAATAGCTGACATATAGGGAAAAAATGGTTTTGGCCTCAGTTGGTGACTTGTGCATTTCTTTATGCAAACAAATAGGTCAATTTGCCACATTCAAATAAACAACATGAATACACAAATAATGCACCTGCTCTCATTTCTGTACATAATTTCTCAGTGACGGAGAATAAAGCAGATGACATGTTTAACAAAGTGGATGTAACCATTTTTTTTAGATGGAGGGACAGTGTAAAAACGTAAGAATCTGCCGCTGAAAAATACATATTGATTGACTGCTAATCTGAAGATCTGTAATGGCCCACAATAAACACCAATACAAGTTTATACCAATGTTTCCATCTGCAGCAGCTTGTTCCCCTGGTCCTGTAAATGCTCGCGCTTCATTTCGATGACAAATAACAGACTCTCCTGCTCCTGCTCCCAGAATGCACCAGGGCTGCCATGAGTCTGGGATGAAAAGACAGATACAGCTGAATACTCCAGCTATCTGAAGCACGCTTTGCCAACAGATCTCCTCTCATAACAAACCTCAATATTTCTCTGAAGGTCTCTCTTGAGCGTGGACCCCTCCGCTCTGCGCTTTAACTCGTTGAACAGCTTCAGCTCTGACGTCAGCCCTTCAATCTGATCCTGAGTTCATAGAAAGTTCAGACCAATCACTTCACAGTCAAGTCTGGTATGTCTAGCTTGACGTGGGAAGTACAGTGGAGATCAAAATTAGAGAACAATCTATAAATACTTGATTTTTCTGAAGTATTGTTAATCTTCATTGCTCAAAATTCAAAGGAATATCAGCTGGGAGTATACCACTGTTCTATTAACAAGGCATTTCAACAAAAACCTTTATTTTGTGAAAAACACAGTGATCAAAATTAGAGAACCGTTACCACTGTAGCACGAAAAAGATGATTATTACATTTTTGGAGGGATACAGCTGTCAAAAATGAGTAGGAAGTGTAGAGGCCCTCGCTTTGAGTGACTTCAGCATCTGCGGTCACCTTAGAGCGGCCCATCATCTTGCAATCTCAGTCAAAATTAGACGAATGCCGCCAGTTAAATAGGGTTTTTCATATATAATTAATGAAATTAGCACCAGGTGCCAGATTAACACCAATAACTTGGAGGAATCTGTCATTGTTCTCTAATGTTGATCAGAGTTGTTTTTCAAATATCTCATTTAAGTTTTAAATTTATAAATTTATGAAGTACGCTTAAAAAAAAAAACAAACAAAAAAAAAACTGCGCTTCTACTCCCGTTAGGAACTTCAAACAGGACTAAGCAGTGACCTTGAAAATTAGGAAATTGTAGGTTGTTCTCTAATTTTGATCTCCACTGTATATTAGATCAGCTCTCAATCAAATATATTAAGGCAAATCAGAGCAGTGATGTTGCAAATAGACGTGCTTTACCTTCAAAGCATTCTCAGCTGCTGCATGCGACTCATTTAAAATGTTCTTCTCTTCATTGTGTAATCGCTGTAGCTCTGCAAAGTAAACAATTATTAAATATTGTTATTTACACACACACACACATACGTACAGTACGAACATATACATACATACATACATACATATATATATATATATATATATATATATACACACGTGTACACACACACACATTTATATGTACATTTGTGACCCTGGACCACAAAACCAGTCTTAAGTGTAAATTTTTCAAAATTGAGATGTATGCATCATCTGAAAGCTGAATAAATAAGCTCTCCATTGATGTATGGTTTGTTAGGATAGGACAATATTTGGTCGAGATACAACTATTTGAAAATCTGAAATCTGAGGGTGCAAAAAAAAAAAAAAATTATTGAGAAAATCGCCTTTAAAGTTGTCCAAATGAAGTTCTTAGCAATGCATATTACTAATCAAAAATTACGTTTTGATATATTTACAGTAGGACATTTACAAAATATCTTCATGGAACATGATCTTTACTTAATATCCTAATGATTTTTGGCATAAAAGAAAAATCGATAATTTTGACCCATACAATGTTTTTTTTTGGCTATTGCTACAAATATACCCCAGCGACTCAAGACTGCTTTTGTGGTCCAGGGTCACATTTATCATTTATGCTCTTGGTAGATGTGTTTGGCAAAGTTACTTCACATTTGTCACACCTTCTGTTGCGCTCTGATGCCGTTCTAAGGTGCTCCTCATCTGTTTTTCATGAAGATCATTTAGGTCAGCGGTTATCTCAGTCTTTACCTTTTAAAACAAGACACAATGCATTTATTTATTATTTAACACCAAATCAGCAGCAAAGGCTATTTTCATGGCAAAGTAGCAGAAATTGTCTGATTGAAGAGCTTTTAGGCTCAAAACGTCACCTGTGGTGAGAACATAAGTAATTATTTTTCTACTTTTGGAGCTGTGGTGTGATAACTTTGACTTTCCTGTTTGAAAGTAGCAGAAATTGAAATAGTCGTAAGAAACTTAAATAATGATATACAATAATGTTTTCAACATAAAAAAATACTGTTTACATAAGATTTTTCAGTTTGATATTTGATAGAAATTTTCCCAAGGATAAGCCTTTTAAAAAAAAAAGTCCATTAATGAAATTTATGAATAAATCCATTCAAGACATAATACAGAAATTTGGATAAAAAAAAAGAGATAAATAATATGCAATAAATTAACAATAAGTAAATAATGTAAATAATTAATTCATACAATTAATTATAAAGTAAATTAAAATTACATTTATAAAATTAAAAATATAAATTATAAAATTAAAAATTAATCTGAATACCTGTTAAACTGACAGAATTCTCATAAACGGACAGTGCCTAGCAGCATACATGCGAACTTAAAAAGCATCCCAGGATGCACCTTACAAAAGTATGTTTAGAGAATGGCAAGAGCTAGATCTTTAATTTTTAGAATTACTACTGCTACTACTAATAATAATAAAAAAAAACTGACAAAACCTCCTTTTGGGGATGTCTTCATTTGTCAAAACACTATAAAAGTCTAAATAATAATAAATAAAAATTAAAAATCATAATTTTTTATTGAAAAAATGGTTCCTGTTAGTGATCGGTTACATTTATACATAGTTTTTATAAAAACAAAAGAACGTTCTATGCAATGTTCCCATTTACATTGCTATATAAATGCATGCTTAACTTAATAATTTTACATAATAAATTAGTCTACAAAGTTCTAGACTACAAAAACACTTGGTGAAAGGTAAAAAAAAAGCCATCTTTGTTCTCTCTTGTTAAAACAAGCAGTGCTCTAATGTGTTTAAACACACAAACCAGCCTTTACAGGGCAATGAATAACTTCCCTCCCTGCAAACAGGTTTAGCTTTGTTGGTCAGAGGTTAGCACAAGGACAGATGTACCAAAGCACACGTTCCCAAACCCTGAACAACAGTGCACAGAATCGGCCTTGTTCCCAATTATGCTGCAATGGAAAAGCACGTCTTGTTTATTGCCGCTGACAGCTTCATAATGTAGAACCCGCTGACATAATCTGGGATCAGAATACTAGTCGCTCTTGAATGCCTACATGAAGCTACATGTATTCCAGTCAGGACAAAAAGAAAGGGCTTTGAATATGAAGAGCTTTCAAACTCTACCTTCTCTATAATGCTGTGGACTAAAGTGCAGATGTCTCCAGGATGGTCCTTGAGGAGCTGGTCTCTCTCCTGGTCTCCTGAAGCCGTCAAAACTGCATGTAGTATCTTTAGCTGACACTCATAAGCCTCCAAGTGATTCTCCTCAGATGAGCGTGTACCTGGGGGAGAGCAATTGAACACTACATTGTTTACTCTATGGTACACCTGAAACAATATCTCCATGAGCGCAAGCCAGGATTGCCCACGGCCAGCAACACAAGAGTATTAACAGGTCCCTGCAGCCCAACATCAGTGCTACCAAACCCTGCGCTCTGCCAAGAACAACACACTTTACAATGGAATCGTGGGACATTGAAAAGCCACGCATGAAAAGCACACATTAATAGATAATAACCGTAGCACACGCATCAGGATCTACAAGTGCAAAAAGCTTTTGTTGACATTCTGAAATAGTCCAGGACCAGAATATCTCTGTCACAATGCATTTTCTGTTTTCGTTTATCTAAAGAACATCTGCACACGTTCACATGACATGATCGAGAGAAACCACTTACCACTTCCATCTTGAAGTTTGATGTCCTTTATGTGCTTCTCACCTTCTTGTGCTCTATTTTTTTTCTGAAAGAAAAGAAACGAACACTTTATTTGTTGCATTGCAGACACAGGATCAATCATTCCAAAGTTAGCTAACAAACTCAATCTACATGCGCAACTCTTTAACATTTCAAAGACGTGTCTTATAAATTGATATTTGTTGCAACTGACAATTGAAGACGAAGAGCTGTATGCTGGAAGCTGATGAGTTGATTTGTCAGTGTTTTAATATTCCTCTGGTCAGTTTTTAGATGGATGCAGAGGCTTTTTAGGCTGGGCTGAATCTGCAATCGCTGACCCAGTTCATTTGCTGGCTTCCATGGCTGCAATGTGCTGTGTTTTCCACCAACTGGCAACCCGGGGTGCTGAAATACTATTGGGTAAACTGGCAGGGGGCTGAGTCACACAGACCGAAACAAAAACAGGCATTCCGACATGGAACGCACATTTCAAAGTAGAACTGGAACATTGTTCTTCAGAGAAACAAGTATGTGAACTTAGCATATTTCCTACATATCTGAATATATGAAGGTATTTGTATGCTTTAGTACAGTCAATCTCCTTTAATTGCTAAACTGACATTTTTTACATTGCAGACAGTCACTGTCAATTATATACGGATCATATATAAGAAAAAAAAAAAAAAAAAAAAGACAGACGAACAAAATGTGAAGGCCTATTTAAATCCCACACATTCACTACCATTAAAAAAAATCAGTCAAATTTGAATTTTTTGAAAGAATTCTCTTGTGCTCGCCAAGGCTGCATTTATTTGATCAAAAATACAGTAAAACTGTAATAGGCTGGACTCCGCTTCGTCCATGGTGAAAGGCGATCCTCAGCGTGAAGTTGATGTATTTCCTCAGCGACCCGTTTTAGGTAGGCTTGGTTGACTCTTAACTTTTATAAAGAATATCTCTTTGGATTTGAGACTTTGTATTATTTTAAATAGCTTTTTTATTTTAATGTATATATTCAGTGTCACATGATCTTTCAGAAATCATTCTAATATGCTGATTTGCTGCTCAAGAAACAGGTCTTATTATATAAAGAGTTGTGTGGCTTAAAGGGGTCATATGATGCTGCTAAAAAGAACATTATTTTGTGTATTTGGTGTAATGAAATGTGTTTATGCAGTTTAAGGTTAAAAAAACACATTATTTTCCACATACTGTACATTATTGTTTCTCCTCTATGCCCTGCCTTTCTGAAATGCATCGATTTTTACAAAGCTCATCGGTCTGAAAAGCGAGGTGTGCTCTGATTGGCCAGCTATCCA